TGTTTACATAAATCCTAATGAAAATAAACTTTTTTGAATTTTATCCAAATGTGTGAATGGGACTAGAGTTAATATGTAAATGAGTTTTAAATGAATTTAAATTAGAATTCTTATACTTACTTTTATTTAGATGCAATTTATTTGTTCTTATTGATTGCCCTTGGATAATATTCACACAATAAAAATGTTTGTTTGCCTAATTGTTTGTTTGTTTTTATTTTCCTCATATCAACAAGTTTTTACAACCTACAGCTTTTAAATTTCTTGGCAATGAATTTGTTATGTCATGAACAAAGGGGATGCAATTGGAAGTGTAGGAAGGCAGAGATAGATGGAGTAATTTTCCACCTCATCTCAATGTGTTATGTCACATTTCTGCCATGTCTTTCTCATGTCACTACATGTTATGTCTCTACCGTATCTATACGTGCTTCAAATCGCACAATGCTTTTTTCTTGCAAAAATGTTAGCATTTTCAAAGAATTATTTCTACAAAATGCAGAGATGAATCCTTATGAGCTAATGACTAATTGTTTTCATGCAAGAAAATGATTACAGCATGTTCTTAGTTTAATTAATAATTCTAATCATATTCATGGGCAATAATTCAAATTAGGTCAACCATTCAAAAGATTAAAAAATAACAGTCTTCTAAATGAAAGGAAAGACATCAAGCAATGTCCTTATAAATATGCAACATTACTGATGAAATTTTAACAAGTATTTTCTGATCAAATTCATCAATATTTTCAGTTGAGTCAATGACCTCCATCTTAATTAGGTTTGTCACCCAATTATTGTGGAAGTGCTCTGCAGAGATAATCTTCCACAAATAGCCAAAAGGTCTTAGGCATTTTGGAAAGCAACAATTTTTTCTTAGCCTTATTGAACACTGAACCCATGAAATGAGAAATGAGCACAATAAACACAAGCTGACCGGTTAACTAATTGTTTAAAATATCAAGGAAATTTTTTTTTAAAGTCTCTTCTTATCTTGATAAATTAATACAATAATTGTTTATTGTAATTTAAACAATAGTCTGGGGCACTTGTTAAGCACAATGCTCAACTCTTTTAGAGGTAAGAATCAAAGAAAAAAATATAAAGAAACAAGATCTTGCTGTGCACATTTAAATCAGAAGTTCAGATGAATTTAATGTATGACAATCAAACCAAGTTGAAAATGCAGAAATAGCTTTTAAGTTATAAGTAAAATTTTATCCAAATCTATGAACAGTACAGACTGATCAATGACACGGTTAGTAGATTAAAATGGTTAGTGTGGCAACAAACGTAAATACAATCACAACAAAAAAATAGCAGCTGGAGTTTGTTTGTTATATTACTACTAGCATACACTAAACATTGACATGCACACAGAACCAGCATCCAGTGAATGGTTGCAGTAAAAAACACTTATTTTTGTTGCTGTAAATTCAGTTACAGATACTATAACCAGGCAAAATGTATTTAAACAAATCACATTGGTGACAATGAGTTTGCAAACTTCTACTCTCTTTATTTGTCAGTAATAGTAAGTGCCAACAATAATTCAAATAAAAATTAAATCAATAAATATATTGAGTAGACCCCGAACATTTTTATGGAAAATAATGTTTAAAAAACATATTTTGGCAGTGAAGTTGAAATAGATTTGGATATGGAACTACTTTCTTATTACGGTATTTGAAGAAGAAAAAAAGAAGAAGAAAAGAAAGAAAAAAAAATCTTGCAATCTTACACGATTGTTCACGTAATGAAAAATAATAACATTTTTGTATTATTATTTTAATAATTAATAATCAATTTAAAAACATAGTATTATGTAATAAAGGAGAAAAACTGGATAACGAAAATATTGAGAGCTTTTTGTAACAAAAGTAAAACATTCACAACAGATGCAAACATACTGCCTACTACTTGATGACTGAACATTTACACAGAAATATGTTGTAGAATAAACATTTATCAAATGATCGTGCAATGAAAAGTAAAAATAATAACAATAAATGACTTTGAAATACAGAAGATATAAAATTGTAGAAATGAACTTACGCTGTTTCATATTTACAATAACCTATTAAACAAATCTTTAAAAAATTAACCTGTTTTCCTGGAAAATAATATTAATTAAATCTTAGAAATAAATGATTAATTTATTTGAGGGTTCAGATATTATAAAGTAATATAAATTTTGGTATTTTAGTTTTTATAGAATAATAATAAATTAGTGATTATTTTAATGAATAGTCAAAGAGCTGAAAGCTGATATTGATCATTATAAGCAATGTTTGTTACATTAAAATTCAAAAATTTACTTTCAGAATTATTAACATTTTAATGTCTGTAAATGTTAATATTTTGTATCATAGAGTTGATGCATAACAGTCACATTAAAAATAGCTATCTATTTATCTAGCTAAACATTTGTTTATTACAAAACATATATTAAAGAAAAAAATTTCATCAATATCAAACTGTTAACAGAAGTGAAACATTAAAACAATTTTTACTCTAAATTCCAAGCAAAAAAAGAGGTGTGTAATATTGATTTTTTTTTATTACATAATATGAATTGCTGCTGATGTTATTTACAATTGAACTGTATTTATTCTTGGAGTTAAAACTGATGCAACCTTATTTAATATTCTAAATTAATATTTACTTACAGGAGAACCCTTATTTAACTTGACTTCTATTTAACGCATTCCCGTATTTTATGTTAATTTCTAAAAATTCCAACAATTTATTTTTGTAATTAATGCAATTATATTTTTGATTTTAGGTCAATAACTTTGACTCACAACCCACATTTAAAATTAAACATTTCTGTATTTTAATTTTCATATATTTTTCCTCCACAAATTGGGAACTGATGCTAAATACATCATTCAACACATCTGTCATTAAGGGCAGCCAATTGTAGGGTACGAAAACCATTAATAGCCACAATGACATCTGTATTAAGCTGCTATTAAGGCAGGTAAGTCTGCTGCTCTGAATGAGGTTGTGATGCACCCTCATCCTTATAAATTTTGCACTCACAGATAAAGCATGTATAATAATATTGTGATTTAATTATACATGATAATAATCGAGCATTTTGTAAAAAAATAATTTGATAATTCCTGGTTAATTTTCACTTGTTTCTTCAAAGAATATCCCAAACCCCTATTTAGAGTAAACCCTCATTTAACATAAGAATATTGGGCACCCCAGAGCTGAAGTTAAATAGGGGTATTCTGTATACATGTTTTTAGTTCTTCACTTCGACCTTAAATTGTAAGTCTTCAATAAGGTTAGGTTCATATTCAAGTCAAACAGTTAACAATCAATTATTTATAATTATTAACAAGATTCCATGGTTGTCTAATGTTAAAAACAGTTTTTTCTTCACTATTTATTTTTGAAATGTATATTTTGTAATAAAAAAATGTGATAAGTAGACAGCTATTTTCAATTTGCGTGTTAAGAATGGCCTTTATGATTCAAAATATTATTCCCATAATATTGTTTTCATTCTTTTAAGCTAATTCTCTCTAATCCATCCCATCTACTTTTGAAATCTTTGAATTGGAGACATTTGAATGTATTGAACTGACTGTATATGTTTCTATTGTCATATCACAATTCTTATTATATAAAAATTCTACTTTAATTTTACTTAACAAACCTGACTTTTCCTGCAATTTTCTTCTTTTAATTTCTACCTAAAAAATGTTTATGATGAATGCAGTCAAGCGAATAATTGAATAAGAAAAAATAATTCAGGATTTCTTCAATAAATAAATAAATGAATAATAGTTTTAAGTGAGAAATGAGGTTACATAATAATTTGTAGTGTTTTCCCAGTTTAAAAGAAATTGTTAATGAATTACTGAATGAAACAAACAATAAAAATATGTAAGGCAAATTGTTCAGAAACCACATTGTTCTCTTACCTCTCTTTTGCATTTTCAAACATTTATTGTCATCAGAAATACTATTGTTTATCCTCATCTCAATATAACTCCCATCAACTAATCATTTTGAATAAATTTAAAAGTTTGTAAATTGTGCCATTATCAATGACTTTGTTTGTGTGGAGTCAAAACATTAACTTTTGTTAATATTTTTCATTCAAAACACTTCAAGTTAACTTCAAACATGTTATGCAAGTGAGTATCACATTCTCTTGAATTGCAGAAGAATCGATTCTTTATCTAAATTGGCTCTTTCAAACGAAAAATGGAAATTAAAGTCATAAAAAAGTGTTTGTTCCTGCACAAATTAAAAGTATCCACTCAATCTGGAAAGCAGACATTCCAACAGGCAACAGAAGATTTTGTAGGTTGCATTACAGTCATGATGTGTTTTAGTTGTATCCATTCAATAGTTTCAAGTCATGCAAATTCAAAATGTTAGTTGTACCAAAAACCATACAATTTAATTATTATTTATGTTAAAATTTCAACAAAGTCCCAGACTTAATGCAGTTTATAATAATACATACCATAAACCCCATGAGGTAACGGGATATCGTATTTATTGCTGATCATGAAAACCAAGAGAAAACCTGAGAACGTACAAAGTTATAAAAGTGACTATAATGAAAATTCTCCCACTTTTTTCCACCTAAGAAGAGATAAAATTTTGGTACAAAATTGGAATTGGAAAATGGAACAGAGTAAAGAAAGGAATAAAATTGAAAGGAAAATATTGAAATTTGAATAAGCTGTATACCATCGTATTTTCTAAATTCAAATATTTAGCTGAATAATTGCATGAAGCCAGAGCAATTTTGTATGGTTCATTGTACAGCAAATACAAGTTATTGTCAACTACCTACTAGATGAATGATATGATTAAAGAGTGGAATAATGCAAGTGAATATGAAAGGAATTGGGAAAAGTGCACTGCATTGAAAAAGAAACAAAACACAAGTGAGTTGCTTGTCAACTAGCTAAGGACTGTTTGCAATAAAGGAAGGAAGGATTTATTCAAGTAATACTACTATATCCTTCCAAAACATCTTTTATTTTCAACTTCAGTAGATTTCTTTTATATTATATAGCATATGTATAAAATTGAAGATTCTTCCAACGTATTTCAGTGAGAGATAAGAACAACACAACATGGAAGATTAAGCTATTGTCGCTTAGAATTCTTGAGCAAATTGTGTGTCTCAAATGGTGAAGAACGAATCACCCATCTGCAACTAGAGACTAGTTTCAACGTACGATATATAAGAGAGAAGACAGTACTTCTATTTAACAGCTGCAAGGCAGGGGAAGCCGTGAGTCGCTTGTGACTAGAAATTATTTGAGCACCAGAGCCATGCATGAATCAGTGGTCGGCTGGCAGGCTGTTCAGTTGGCCTACTACCAACCGTGCTTAAAAAGCACCAACTGGAGTCACACCAGTGGCTTCAGTCTTTTACATCAGCGTTCTTTAGTCTTAATGAAGTTTCATGAAAACTGCATGTGTTACAAGAACAGAAAGACTTGCTCTGAGATTTAATAGCAGAAGGATAGATTTTAGATCATGAACCTGGAATGGAAAATGAACAATCAAAATCCTATTGTCACCTAAATTTTAAAAATCACTATGCACATTTTTTTTCTAAGAGGAGAATACTAAGGAAAAAATACAGATGTGTTCCTGATGTAAGTTTCAGTATTTGGAAAATTATGATCCAAATAAAGAGATAAATACTTCATTGCTTTTCTATTTACAGTGTGAATCATGCCCATTTAAAAATTTAACCAACATTTTTACTTTAAAAAAATAAATAAATACATGGCTTATAATAGACCTATTGTGTTATGATACTAATAACATCTAATAACATGGTGCGTAGAATAGTGAATGTACCACTTTTTAACATATGCGAATTGTTTTGTTTTGCTTTAAAACCTGCTTTATTGTGTTTTAGCTCTAAAATCTACAATTAAGTTTCTTAAAGCAATGGAATATGACACATTTACTGAGGTTTTTCCTATATCATTTACTTCTAATTGTCAGGAACACACTGCAGTTCAAGAATACAATGTGGAGTAGAGTTGCCAACAGTTATATATTCCTGTAAATTATATATATTTTTGATGGTATTAATAATTTTATTATTTATATACTTGGAAGTATTTCTCACATTTTCAGAAGCATTAATTAAATTTCTGGATGCTTCAAGAAATGGCCAATAAGCCAAAGAATTCATTGATGAATTGCTTTTGTTAATACATTGCTGAATAAACATCAAATAATCCAGAGAAAATGACAATAAATCATAGAAAGACACTAATGGTGCTTTCACAACCAGATATACAGTTTGAAAGATCAAAATACACATTTCACTGCTTAAATCCACAACAATTTAATGCAATGAAATATGAATAATCTCCATGAAACCTCATCACTTTCTGTATAGAAACAAGTAATGGATCACAATATATACGAATTGTGTCAATAAAACATTTTTATACATTCACTTGAAACAATTTGGAAAAAAATCTCATTCCACATTTAACAATTTTTATTATTTATTTAAATTATTTTGTGTTTAAATACTTCAGTTGAATTTTTGAAAGTAAAACAATAATGATTTAAAACCCATAATTTTCACATAATCATTTTTTGTTGGCAACCCTTCAAAATTCATAAAGAGGAAAAACATACTTCAAAATTATCAAAATTCTTTTCTTTAAAAAATCTTAGGTGCGTTATGGTGTGATTGAAAAAATGCCATGCATCGTGAATGTGAGAAAGAAAAGTGAAACTAATGCGAGTGATTTAAAATGTCATAAATTCAATAATAGAGCACTACTAAATTGCATGTTATCCATACAATTCAATGAAAGTGAATGTTAAAAAAATTTAAAAAAAGAATTAGGCAAATATTTTTTAGTTGAGTAACATATTCCTATCATATGAGCTACTAAATACAAAATCTTACTTTGCCATTCCAAAACAGCCATTGTTCAATAATGAGCATTGACCAAAGTGAGTGAGCAGATGTCTAAGAACAATATGAAGTTTCATGAACTGAAGATTATAAAAAAGCAGTATTTTTTTAAAACATAGAGAACCAATTTTATCAAAATTTGCTCTGTAGCTTCGTCCTGATATTCTTCACTGAACGTCTCTATAGGACCCATACCCAGACAAACTTTGATTTTAATCACTGGGAAAGAAAGTGTCTTAAATTCACATCACACAAACATTTCATTCATTCAGGGTGGTATTAAATAAACAATAACTGCAATTGTGATGAAACTTCACAAAAACTAAAGAATTCATTTCATTCCACTAACCACAAGTGGAAGCAGCTAGGTGCTACTCATGCTCCATACACCAACTGAAGAAGTGCAAAACCAGATATTTTGGCACAAAGTCTCTATTATGGTATCTACACTGTACGATGATAACAATGATTGAGAAGAAGATATCACAGCAAACAGTAAAACATGACTGATCAAGAAAAATAATTTACAAAGTTCACATAAAACATTGACAAGTATACTGATACACTCACACATGTGATGTTAAAAGTGGTAACATATTCCTTAAAACCACAAAAACACCTGGTTTTGCCATTTTATTTTGTACAATGGCTCATGATCAAAATGGGGAAAAAACTGCATTTGCATATTAATGATAAAGATTTCCAGTATAGTCAAAATATTCTAAAACTAAAGAACATAATTCACATATTTATTAAAAGGCTTTTAAAATTCTGTAATTATTTATCAATTTTATATATTAAAAAAGTTGTCATGAAATTAGAAGTTTCTAAGTAAATGACCTCAATACATCTTCCCCATTTTAATGCACAACCTTGCCTTTATGTGCCGCAACCATTTAAGCAATTTTCTGTACGGTAACATTTCAGATTGTAGCCAGGACTAAAGTCATATGTGTTTTTTTGTTTCTTTATTAACCTCTGATATATAAATATTAAGAAATGTCCTTTGTATTGAAAATGGAAGCAATTTAATATCTCTCAAAACATCTGTACTTGGAAGAATCTATGACACATTCTTCATGAAGAGATTGATCTTAAATTAGTCCAAAATGATTTAAAAATTGTGCTAATTACATGTATCCTTACTTTAATATAATGTTAAAACTCACATTCACACTTTTATTTAATACATGAAATGTTTTAAAAATAATTTACACACATCAGGTTTATTTACTATCTTCTGGGTAACAACATGTCTACGATAACATTACACTAATTTTTAAATGATTTGTTCCATTGCATACTTCAACATTCTCATTTCTGGGATGAATTCTGCAGAAAGTGAACTCAAATTTTCATTGCATTGGCACTTTTAATCTCAAAGACATAATAACAACAACAGTATACAAAAATACGTAACTACCATACACACACCAACAGACTGACAAAGACGGACACCACTACAGATATTTTACTACATAAAAGAGACTTTTATCAGAAAGTTTTACTCACTCTATACTTCTTTATGAAATATAATCACTAGAAGTAATGAAAAATATATCTAAAGAAGAATAACTTACAAAAAGATCTCAGAAACTATCTTGAAAGAGATAAAGCTCTATTAATAGGAGCAAAGAAAGGAAACAAGAAGGAAAATGTTATTAATTCCTAATAAGAGAATGTGGGGAGAGAATGAACCAATCAGAAACAAGATCAATAAAGACCAGAGTTCAAAATTGATTACTTTTACTCATACAACTAAGTTCAACAGAAACAAACCAAGATGAAATGACATATTTTAATCATGGAACTTTTTGAGAAATAGATTCTGAGGGCAAACTGATAACAAAGACATGACACAACATGCAAACAATATTTATCTAGATATGAATGAACCAATGATTGTGAATTGATTGACAAGCAACACGTACATCAACAAGACATCAACAGGAATAGAAACCAACTAATACTGGACTCTTGAAACTGGAATTTTAACCCATTCAATATCAAAAGGAAAATTTACCTTAGTTCTGAACCAAACTTTATGAATTCAAGATCTTTGGAAGAAATTACAGAATATAAATCGAGGAAACATCTATTTTGGAAATGAAAAGAGATGAACAAAATATTGTCTGATGTTTAGCACCAAAACAATTAATTTATTATTTAACTTCCTGGCACAGAATAGTAATTCTAAATTTAAGGAAAGTTTCATGCCTTCTTTCTTCAGGCAAAAATGTGAATCTTAAATTAATAATGTAGAAAAAATATATAACAGAAACAACATAAACTGACACAAACACACCCTTATGTGATAAGTAAAGAAGATTTTAAGTTCTTAATATCCCTTAATTTTCATTTTATTAATAACACAAGTTCCAAGCTATCAAAACATTATAACAATACTTACAACCATAAAAATTGATATTTTTAATTCTCGTATAATTATTATCACATAGTATTTCAGTTACTCGTATTGGAAACATGATGTGACACTAACTATGAATGAGTCAGGAGAAAAAAAAAATCAGTCTTCAATGCTTCAATAGACTTATTTATATTGGTAAAGCATTGCAAGTATCTACTAATGACTTATTTTTAGAGTAAATAGTATGAATGAAATAAAGTATAGAAGCATGTTTAAATGTTTTACCATAAAAACACTGCCATGCTTTTGAGTTTAGAAACTGGGCAAGTGAACACTGACTAGTAGAGAATTTCTTTCGGTGGGTTAGTTCATCCCCCAACAGCCCCACTACGTGGCCACTGCCACCTTTGCATGTTCCTATCTCGTATGCAAACAACTACACGAAAGTTGGATGATTGTATTCGGTACGCAAGCTAGAGTGGGTAATGAAGAGACCTCAAATACGACTTTAAATCACCTAAATATTTTGCCCCTCCCCAATAAAGTAAATTTTCAGTCCGTGCGTTATTCCCCATCCTCCGGATCTTTCAAACTTTATGACTTCTCGAAGGTCCTGGCTACAGATTCTGAACGCAGATACGAGGCATGACTCTGTGGTGCAACCGGGGATTTTGCGAATCCAACTCACTACAGCAAAGGTGCAGAGTAATGACAGAAGTAGACCAGATCGGCCATCGGATGAGTGATGTTGGCCGGGCAGTACCTGTCAGAGTCCGGAGGCCGCGCGGCGGCGGAGTTGGCCGACGTTCGCGTGTGGGAGGTTGAGCGCTCCGTCTCGGACCCCGTCGTGGTGCCGCCCCCGCCCCCGGCCCCACCTTCTCGCCGCTTCCGGCGCTCGATGGACAGCTTCACGTCGGTCTTCAGGCGGATGTACTTCTCCTTCAAGGAGCGGTACTTGTCCTCCAGAAGCCTCTTCTCGCAACGCAGTTTCTCCAGTATTCTGGAACAGAGGGGGCACAATTACAAGAGGGAAGGCGATTATTTATTTTTAAAAAAATAATAGACATCAAAATTAAATTTATTGTTTACAAAATAACGTTCCGCAGTACAAAATATTCCATCCGCAAAATAATGGAGAAAACGACATAAAATGAAGATAAATACCGGTAAAGTTTTGGGAATTTTTAATAGAATTCTCAAGAATTTTGAGTTATTATTGAATAACATGAAAACAGAACATTCAATTGTATATATTTTAAAACTTAACTCATGAACATTAGATTAAAAAATAAGTATTTAAGCTTCTAACTCAATGAAGAAAAAATTTTGAACACTTGGATTTTTTTGTACATACAATTACAAATTGGAAACGCAACTATATTAATACATCATTCCCGAATTGTCAAATATCCTCAAACAATAATCTACACTGAAATGAATCCTCTACTTCAATTAACATTGTATCATTAAGTACTGATAGCGTGCAAATACTAGAAATTGTGATGACAATTGGTTCGTGGCGAAACTAACAGTTTCGGTAGTTCCCTTACATTACTTTATGTGGGTTTACGACCAAAACCTTATCCCCAATCCCACCATAAAGTCGGCAGGTAGAGCCCCAGCTAGAGGGTTGCCTGAGCGACCAGGGGCTTTCTGCATCCACTTTGATGGTAACAACGTGAGTGCCGCTCCGAAGAGAAACTCATGGTCCAAAACATCCAGCCAGATAACCATGTGCCCCCCCCACAAGGTATAGTACTAAATTGTTATCGTGACGACTTAACGTAAGAAAACTAAGAAGTGACTGTTTACAGATCTCTATTCATTAAATCAATCAAAACAAATGAGTTGCAGCTAAAGATAGTGGGTGAGTAGACCAACTCCTTCTCCATAAAAAGTATTTCTTGTGTTCGTGTGTATTACTTAATATTATTGTTTTATTACCAATACAAAAATATCACGTCTTTAGTTCGTTTACCGATGCAAACATTTTTTATAAATCAGGAGCGAATATGTAGTTTTCTAAAGTTGCTTTCCTCTTCTTTTTACTCGACATCCAACTCTTCACAGTGAACGGGAAGAGATATTGGAGTTCAAGAAAACATGCAATTATACCTTTTAACAAGTCACATAGAGGTATGGTTATTTTAATAATCATTTATCAAATAAAGAAAGAAGAAAGCAAAATAAGGTAGGAAAGAAAGGAAGATAGAAAAAGAAAGAAGGAAAAATGAAGGAAAGAGAAGGAAAAAAGAAATCAAAAGAAGGTAGCAAAGAAAGAAAATAAAAGAACAGAAAAAGAAAGAAAGAGAAAGAAAAAGACAGCAAAGAAGGTAGGAAAGAAATAAGAAAGAAAGGAAAGGAAATGAAAGGAAAGAAAAGGAAAAGAAAGGAATGGAAAGAAAAGGAAAGCAGGAAGGAAATAGGAAAAGAAAGAAGGAAGGAAAGAAAGAAGAATGAAAGAAGGAGAAGAGAGAGCGCCCAGAGGGCAGGGGCGAGGCGGGTACCTGGCGCTCTCGAGCAGCTTCTCGCGCTCCTTCTCCTCGCCCTGCAGCTCCTTCTCGCGCGCGCGCTGCCGCTCGGCCTCCAGGCGCACGCGCGCCTCCTCCAGGCGCAGCACGTGCTCCCGGCGCAGCGCCTCCTCCTGCGCACACTCGCCCACTCGCACTCGCACCGCACCGCACCGCGCACAACCGCCTCACACCACCGAGCTTGTGTCCGAACGGCAACACAGCCGACTGCACGCGCTTTACAGTGGGGGATCTCCCAACAAGGTAAGCACATTTTTCATTTCTCCGCGCCCAACCACCTCCTCGTGCCACCCACTGAGCTTGTTTCCCAAAGGCAACACACCCAACTGCACACAAAATAAAACAGACAAAACTACTGTTGATAAAATACTTATTCTGTTAAATCAATATTTTGTTTTAACCTTTTTTCTAGGAGTAACTCAGGTATTTAAAAGCATATTTTATATTTCTCGGATCCGCAGGACACCGTTAGCGTCATGATCAGCTCAGTGAGATGGTTCCAAAAAAAAAAAAAAAAAAAAAAAAAAAAAAAAAAAAAAAAAAAAAAAAAAAAAAAAAAAAAAATCTGGAGAAATTTATAGAGGAGCAAAAATTTATTATAGCTACAATAGTGTTGAACCATAATCCACTTCCTGTTTTGTTTTGGAACCACTAAAGTATTTTTTAGCAAATTTTAAGTTACTCCATTCCAAACTAATAAAAATTATAGACTTGGTATGTAAATTAAAAAATGGTATAGGTATAACAAATACCAAACAAATATAAAGATAAATGTTTAGTAGAAAATCATATAATTAACCGTTAAATTGAAACATGTTTCAATTGTTAAACAATGCAAATAAACAACAAATGACAGCACAGTGCACTGACCTCCTCCTTGAGCTCCGAGCGCAGCTGCTCCTGTTGCAGGCGGTGCTGCACGCGCATCTCCTCCAGCGCAGCGCTCTGCTCCTCCAGCAGCGCAGCGCGCCGCGCCTCCAGCTGCGCCTCCGCCTGCGCCAGCGCGCCCGCCTCCAGAGCCCGCAGCCGCGGCCTCCAGCCGCTCCGCCAGCTGCGCCATGCGCCCGCGCATCCACTCTCCTCAGCTCCTGCGACCGCG